TTTGGAATTTTTTTTACCCAATATTTAGAATAAAATTAATGTGAATTTGCGTGGCCCTGTACATTGGTGGCTTGCCAGATGGGATCCTTCATTTACAATTTTCTTACAATAAACATAGTTTATTATAAATGCCATTATTCAAATCTAAAAATGAATTTTGTTCAAAATGTAATATTGATCTGTCCAAGAAAAATATTTATGTACAATGTACATAAATATTTTTAAATTTTTAAGATAATTATACTGATAATGACTGAAGCCTAAAATCGAAAAATAATAGTTAATGCTAATAGCGCTTCAGTTTCTATTTCTTATAGTACCTACCTAATACCCATACACATATGTATATATATATATATATATTTTTATATTACTCTCTGTGTCTCTGTGTTACTATCAACATTACCTCCCCTTGTAATTTTCAAAATATTTGCCTTGCCAATTGCATGGCTCACGAGACGTCACTTATACAAATGTGATGTATACTTATCCATAAAACCCGTAACGAAATCAGTTGTGGCTGTGTTCGTGTAGGTAAATCTGATTTTGTTTTTTTTTCTTTCGAAGAATACTTTACTATTTTATAGTCACTGCTCGAAATTAAATTTCAGTGTATTATCAGACAATCATTGGCGGTCGCCACAGACTGTGAACCGATTATACCTACAGCGGCGGTTAAATCGCTTGGGGTCGGGGACGTATTGTTCAGCTCAATCCCTATCATCATGTTTGACTGGTTGTCATTGTCCGATTTTCACAAAACATTTTTTCGCGTCCATAATATATATATAGTTTTATCGTTTACCTTTTGACAGTAAACCGACGCGTCTGCAATTTTATCGAGCATAAAATATTTGCAGTTATCAGCAATGGATGTATATTATTTGGTATCACTATTATTCTTTTCGACCTTTTTTGTAAGACATTTGCGCACCGTTAAATTTTCGGGCCATGCATCATTTGCGCACTGTCCATCTACCTTGCCCCAAAATGTATATCGTTTGTGAATTAACATATTGAACAATAGAAAGACTGGAAGAGGTTTGGAGAACCCAAAACCGTAAATTTTTACTTAACTATGTGATATACATCTGTACCCAGATGCCGTGTGTTTATGGCTGTAGAAAAATCATTTTATGCGAATATCACTCAGTTAATTTCATTTATTTTACTCATACATTTTTATTACTGAAATAAAACTTTGTTTTAAAAGGAATGTCTTACATTTCTAAAACTACTACTCATTGCAGCTCCTCTCACAGAAAATATTTTCTACACCTACATATATGTCACTGCACATCGTTAATATCTTCCATTTTACACTCCCATACCCATACATAGTATTATTAAAAACTTCGGAACCTCCGACCCTTTAAACATTAAACAAACTGTATTCACCAAAGACAATTAAAACAAATTAAAATATAAATAATCAACCGTAGCTCTATATAAAACATCCATTTTGACTCCGAATATAACGGTGAACCCCGGAGGCCAGGATAAGGTCGTAATCTCATTGTTTATGCATCGGAGATTTCTATTCATCAATTACCGAACCAAACCGTTGTCGGTTGAAATTTTCGACTTTTAAAATACTTGTAGGTAACAGGTACGAAAAAAAACTCAAATTTTAATAAATTTATCATTACTGTTATAATAATAATATTATTATAAAACAAAAATAATCTTTATTAAGCTATACATGCAGCATAATATAATATATTATAATACGTATTACTGAATATTATTATGTTATTATTATAATGTTATATATTTAATAAATACTTAATAAATAATAATTATGCACGAATAAATTACACACTAGTGACTAGAAGTTTAATGTATACAGGATGATCTATTTATTATGAACTAGCAATTTTTTTTAAATGATTTTAAGTGAATTTAATGGCAGGTTTTTTTCAATCATTTTTTACGAGTTTAGGCTTTAATTTAACAATGTTTTCAAATGTTTACTTCTACTTCTTATACCTTAAATGAGTATACACTTGATTAAACATATTATCAAAATGTGTAGAAAGAAATGCTTTACTTGAATCTTTTTTAAAAACGTTGGGGGTTTCTATTTGAAAATCAAAAGCGTATAAACACATTTTAGAAGATGTCTACATAGAAGAAGTATTCAAAATTGGAGATTGTCTTGAAATAAAGCTTAAAAGATTCCATATAGAAATCGAAAAAGAAATAACACAGAAATCAAATTCACTTAAAATCCCATGAAGATTGCTGCTGATTTATGCTAAATCCGGCTGTATATAATGTCATTATATTATTATATCGGTATATGATGAGTAGGGTACTTGTACATGTAATTTTATTAATGTATAGATACTAGTATACACGTTTTAAAAAATATTATTCTTTCAAGTCGGTATATGTTATAACTTATAATATATTTGAATCGGGTATAAAATAGCGAGTATTTATAATGCGAAAAGCTACCTATATTGAGTTTTCACAAAATCGAATTTAACCGATGATAGGTGCACTCCTATACAGAAGTATACGATATCTATAGATCTGCAGTCTATTAACTATTATATAATATTTTCTTTATCATTTATGAATATTCGGAACTACCTAGTAAAATGTGTTGCAGTGAACGCGTTATTATAGGTGTTCACATTTGAATTTAATTGAAGCTTATTGTATAATAGGTACCTATTATAATTAAATATATTACAATACGGACAGTCTAGAGCATTTTTTAGTGAGGTTCTCTGTGTCTAAATGGACTCGCAGTAAAATCCACTGTATATATATTAAGATTTTGTGATTATGCAGTAAGGTGAAATTTTGCTTACAGTGAGACCATTTGAAATTTAACGGTAAATGATGATTAAATTAGTAGATTTCATATAGATATTGAATTTAATATTATATTTCATATAGAAAATACTTTTACTGGGGGGAGGGGGGTAGATGAAGAAAGTCAAGAGGAAGGTTTGGTCGGTCTACTCGTACAGCCTTTTAAGAGAGTGAGGAATGAATAGTGTAAACACAGTGTAGATTCACTAAAAAACGCCCCGGCACATATAATAATTTGCTGCAATTCAAAAAGCACAGCCGCAGTATATTTGAAATTAAAATTCATTAAAACTATATATAATCATTATTGTAATGTTATTAGTTATAATAATATATAATTAGGTATATATGCACAATTTTAACATTTTGTGAAAATTTATATTTTAACGAATATTACAATTTTATATTCACAAAATAGTACTTACATATTATATAATTAATTTTACAAATCTATGTAAAAATAAACAAAATACAATAATAATAAATAAACAACTTATATTTAGGGATTTTTTTACACGAAATGTGAGTGTAATACAAGATAAAATTGTACGTTTTTTTAAGAGAAAAGACTCAAGTCAAAAATAGCTATCTACAAGAGAGACAAAAAGTCTTTAGTAAAGACTTTTAGCATTTACCTATTTATGTGACTTATTTAGTTATTTAGGTTCTCATTTTGACTAAATATTATATGGAAATGTATTGACAGTGTGTCATATAAAAAAAATTTATATTCAAATAAGAGACATGTTTCATAATATGTTGGTAATAAAATTATATCTGTAAATATTGCAGTAGTACTGGTCGACGTGGTTTGAGATTTTACATAGAATTGATGTATAAACCGAAAATGGCCAAAATCGACTTAAGTACTTTCTCGTAAAAATCGTCCAAATCATAAAGATGGATAATTATAACATGTACTATAGGTAATATATTATAGGTATCTATTTAGATTAAATAAAATCACACGAATTCCATCGAAATCATTTTATTTATACTTATTCGATTTGATTTCGCGATCGACACGGTATTCGTCTGTTATGGAATGAATTACAATAAATCGATCACAAAACAAAATAATCGTTGTTGAGTAATTTAGATTACAATCGTTGATAAAAAAAAAGTTGTTTTAATGAATAAGTGTACTATATAAAATACAAACGATGCGAAATAATAATTTTATATAAATAATAATAATAATTTTCGACTTATCGTTCGATTAAAAATTAAATAATATATTATTTTACACGTTTATTTCGAATAACTGATTTTTAGAAACCTATTCTTCCAACATGCTCAATGCGATTTATTATAACATTTTTTTTTTTTGTTTTTCACTATCTGCAATTAACAGAAATATGTATCTACGAGGGGAAAAAACGCGTATACAACGCGATATTCATAAACAAAATAATAAGTCCAACGATATTTTATAATAAATAATATAATCATTTGCACACATATATTTTATACTCGTATATTAATACACTATACATTTAAAAATAAAATAAGTTTAATTCAAAATAAAAACTAATTTATGATTTATTCATATAATATTATCTCATGTAGGTATACTTATGTTAATTTGTACACACTATATTTCAACCATACAAGACGGTATTTTAAGACACACTTATTCTAATATTGTGAAGTTTATGTTAATAATCGTCAGTATATGTCTATACGTTCATATAATATAGGCACACTATTGACTATTTAGTTTGTATGTTTTTTTTTTTTTTTATTAGGAACACGAAACCAAAACGTAACAAAGTGTACAATTGATACTTGTACGAAAAACACAGTTACTGATATTTCAAAGTTATTGTGTATGTACAATATTATTTTCAAATTTTAATAATATAATAAATTACACATATAGAATGCGGTTGTGACACTTTTGCTGGGTTTAGATAGATAATAATATAATATAATATATTCAATAATTTATTGTATATTATATTATAATATAATTACCTATACGTATTCTATGTGCGACTAATTATTGTGCAGCCGACATTTGTTGGCGTTGTTACGGCACAAACCAAAACCGGATGATGTGCCGCTATATAATATAATATTATAATTCTGGGGTCGTCGTTTTCTCGGTCGTGATAACAATATGATAACCCGATGGCCGGCTATTATACACCGTGTACGAAAACTTCGTCAGGTTAGGCAACTTCCAAGTCGGACGAGTCGGGATCCTCGTCGAGTTCCTCGTCGTCCGCGTGCTGATGGACTAAACGCATTGGATCACCGCCCCTTGCCGCGGCCGCCGCCACTGCGGCCGCCAACCCGTTAGACACTCCAGGCTGATCCTGTACCAGATGGTGTTGCATTTTTCGCAGTCTGTCTTGTTCCTCACGTCTTTGTTTCCTCCATTTTGCCCGTCGGTTCTTGAACCATACCTATATTTATGTATACAAGGACAAAAAACAAAGACAAAATGCGTTATTTAATAATATATTTACCATGTGTGTTTTATTTTTTGCATGTGCCATTAATTTGTCTAACAGAAATCATTCAATCATCAAGTGTAACGTTTTTTTTTTAGAAGAAAATGTTGTCTAGTTAGTGCGTTTAAGAGATCGTTTTTTTATATTCCTTGTAGTTTTTTTCAAAAATAGTTGAGAATAATGGGAGAATGTACTTAATAACGGTTTCCGTTTTTTTCGATTTTGTATTTGTGTTGTTATTCGGTTAGAAATAATCGCACAAACCTGAAATTTTTACCCAATACTTATATGTTAGCCCTTTAAAAACGCAGTAAAATCGTTGATCTATATTTATATAATTATTTGAAATTTTCGAGTTTATCTGGTTTTCGTTAATGTTAATGTTCGAAAATCTTGCCATTTCAAAATATTTTTAATTGAACTTCGCTCAGAATCGTTTTTCATCAACATTTATTTACCGTTGCGTAATAGAAATAAATAAAATTCCTCTATATATTCTACCTTCTCAGCTTCTCACCTACGTAATATAACAGTTACATCCGATAGCAGTAATAGTTCATGTATTATTTGTTTTACACATACAATTGGATTAGTATTTCAGGTAAGGCTTCATAAAAACGATGACAGAAATGTTTTATGATGATAATTAATTTCGTACTATATTTTATTTCGGTTAAAGAGCGAAACGGGAGGGTGGAACGTTATAGGCTGGCCGTGGGCGGGGCCCTAATAAATATACGTTGATACCGTTTATACTTCACGCCAGTCAATAGAAATTGATAGATTATAAGAGAAAAGCAAATACAGTGACAATGGAAATATAAGTGTATTATAATATAAGTGATGGCCATGTAAAATTAATCAATTATACACTGTCAACTTTTGATCTTAGTTTAAATACAATATATTCGAAGAAGATATTACTTACCTAAAAATGTATAATATTTATCATAACGAGACTTATAAGTTTTAGGTTTTTAAAATATGGAAAAATCTCAAGTTTATGCAAACATACTATTTTTATGGGGTTTGGTAAAAATTTTCAAAATTTTATTCGAATTTTCCACTATTTTACTGCCCGGTACTTATTTCAGGGGAAGGGATATGGCTCTTTTTAAGGACGAATATAACGTTTTATACCGAAATTTTACAGAAAAAAACTATACATGAGAATTGCGTTTGGTGGATTTCAGTTTTGAAAACATATTAAATGATAATTAATTGCTAGAATATATTGTAATTATTTTCGATTATGAACGCAGAAATTAATATATTGGTTTTAAAATAATATATAATGTGTTTTTTTTGTGTCAGTGATCAACTTTTCTGCCAGAAATCATGTTCTGATATTTAAATGTAGTACCCTTTCTGAAAGTAAATTTAATTTAGTTAGTTTATAGAAAAGTTGTTTTTGATTTTTCTGGTAGTTTTTAATGATTGGGAAAACCAGGAAAAAACTGGAAAGTTTACGGAAATCACAGTTTGTTATATTTGAGAGAGTTTGTTATATAGAGTAATTTAATTTATATCTGTATGTTATGATAAACTGCCAATGATATCGAAAACCGATTCTGAGTGGAGTATTTGTTTGTATTATTTATTTATCTTTGGCAACGTAATCCAGAAATCAACAAAAATTACACCAAAAATTGCCAGTGTCTACCATTTATTAAGAAAACTAAAAAGAAAATCAAAAAATGAACTTTTTATGTAGCAACTAGATCAATAATGCTATAAGGTTTGTATGAAGTCTTTACTGTAGCAAGATTTTTGATAGAAAAACATTTAACAGACATAAAAAAATACAGTAAAACTAAAAATGTTTTATTCGTGGTTTTAAAAACACACGATTGAATAAAATATAACGCCAATAAAATAATTATGAAGTTAAAATGTCTAGCTGTAACATTAAAAATCGATAAACATAAAATAACAATATTCTTTATAATACAATTAAAATAGGTAGTTTCTCTATTGTCTACGCAATATAATATATAAATACGGAATACGTTTGTTTTTCAAATTTCAATAATAACTGTAACAGATATGTTCATTATTTGTTTGACTTTATGCACAGGTCCATTCAATTGAAAAAAAAAAAAAAAAACAAAATGTAAAAAATAAATAACTATACTTTTTTTAGTGTGCCTAATTTTAAAAATTAAATTCGAATCCGTAGTTTATTGAAATTAAATTTAAATAATATACAATATACATATATATATTTTGTTTGTTCTCGCTGTTTTCATTATAATATTATGCCTCATAATATCCTTGCCGATCACGATAAAAATATAAACAATAAATGCCGGAATTCATGAACTATAACATATTATTTTGACGCTAACATCGTATATCATCATCAATAAAAATACTAACGAATGATATTACTAAAAAGATACGCATTTATAAATATGTATACCATTATATTATTTAATATAATATATTTATTGAACCGAATATAGGGGTTTTTTTTATTTATCATGATGCTTTTATTTTAAATATTTATCAATTTGAAAACATATTTTTTTATATAGGTATGGAGGTAGGTAGAGGTACGCGTACAAAGAACTTTGTGATTTGGAGTATTGGCATCACCGTCATATTGGTAGCGCCCTTCACGCCCTTCACGTGATAAAAATGTCAAATAATACGCACCTCGCGATAGGTAATAAATTGTATTATTATCACACATATACCGTAGGACATGAGTCGAATTCAGCCTTTGTGCCAATTATTTCGCTCTCATAAACACAACAATGTTTTCACGGATCAGTTGAACTTTCGCACAAAACACCGCGTTATATATACAGTTACTAGTTATATATACAGTGTTCGTCAATAATATGAGATCCTACGTGACATGAATTTATACTGCGGATATTGTATTTTATTACTTTGTTTTTCGTGTATTTTATTTGCGACGTGAATGCGTGTTGTGCGCACAACGATATAACGAATTTCGATTGAAATCGTATACAGGTTCGGAAGCAATAGAATATATTGCAGTGGTTACCGGGAATAATCTAAGGATTTTTGTCAGCAGTGCATCAAAATACTACAACTCCCCCTCTACTTCCACCTCATCCCAACTTCCAAGAAGATAATTAGTGTTCAATGATATAAGTCGATCAATTATCATTATAGATTGGTCAGTCATAATAGTCATATCAAAAATCGTGTTGGCATTTGATTGCAAGTTTTTTTTTTTTTTTTGATAACGTTTAAAAATTAAAAGCAATCAGCTACAAATGCAAGACATTTAATGCTATTTTCATAAAGAAAAAAAAAATGTATTTAGATTCTTTTAAAATTTACAAGACGATAATGTTTAAAGCACACACTATTATTGTCTGCTTCATTAAGCGGTTTACTATATCATAACATTATGTTTTCAATTTTGTCGTATGGTATTTTAACAATGATTTTATTAAATGTTTTATGTTTATGTTATAATAATTAGTAGTATTCTAACTAGTTAAGTGAAACTAATTCAATTTTAAACAGACAACTTTTAAAAAATGAATGTACCGATATTATTAAAACGTAATAGGTAGTAAATATTATGTAATAATTTGATTATTTTATTAAGTTGATTAACATAATATGTACTAAGGGACAAATCTCTTTTTTTTGGTGCGCAAAAAATATTATGTGGATCGATGAATATTGAGATATTTCTATTGGTTCCAAGTGTCCCTATTTCCCACGTTCGGATTTGAATGGTGACCGGGGATGGCGGTGCCCCTCAGGGAGCTTATTGTATTTTCCGCGTTATATAGTTGAATAGCCTTATGATAATAATAATAATAATAATACAAATATATATTTCAGCCATCTTCTTATACTGCAGAATGAAAAATTATATTATGTATATAGTATTATAAAATAATAATATTTTATGAAAAAATAACACACTGCTTCGCCTTAGTGCCCTTAGTAGTTGTTTATGTTTCGTCGGGTCTGCGGAAAAAAGGATTCTTTATCAAATTGACGTATTGTTTTTGCGGTAATTCCTTCCCTCGGCCTTGCGGGTATCGGGATCCATTTTATACAAAGTTTAGGGTTCTTTCTGCAGGATTTTGTATTATTTTTAATTTCCTTTCTGCTTTTTTAAACTTATTTAGAGGAGGAGTATTTTTAAAAGTCAACCAAAGTCGCAGATAAAATACATACACAATCCAAACAAACCAACAAGGCGGTTTTATTTTTAAATATTATACGGCGAAGCACATTATTATAATAATAACTGTTATTGATAGAGTACGTTTAAGTTTTACTTTAGTGATATATTTTACGATTTTTTTTTATTTTATGAATACAATAATATTAAATTTATTAAAACTAATTTTTGCAACGTATAATAGTATACTAAATGTAAAATGAAAAAAAAAAATTAAAATATGATATTATATAAAAATTATAGGTACCTACCTATATGGAAATTATTGTTCTTTATTTGAAAAACCATAATTTGTTACTAGGCTGTAAAAAATTATTATATTACATGGAGATAATACAAGATAAGCGAAATAAAATTTCCTCATAAAAAGAACTAATAGACATTTTGATAAAATTTTATATTATAAATCTTCCGATTAGGTTATTAAAAAAAATAAATAAACTCGTAATGGTTTTTGGAATTTCGAATTAGTAATAGAATAGCCCATTATAGTATATGCCTTTAATACTTTTAAAAATGTGTCCATTGTTCCCCTTTTCTCCGTCGGTTTTATAGAAGATATTCACATTAATTTTAAATATTTATATCAAGTTGCAAAATAATTTTAGTTTAATTATACTTTTAATGTAATTTAGAATAACTAGGCGCCCATTCGATTTCTCTCAGGGGGACCCGGTATACATTTGTTTTTTTTATAATTCAATACATTTATTTGTTATCATTTCACAGTATAAATATTATTACAGATGACATGAATAAAATATTTATAGTAGGTATGTTACGTGAAGGAAAAATACATCTTTGTAAAATTAATCCATTTTTCGCTAAATTCAGAGTTTATACATTAATTTACCATGTCGTATTATTTATATTTTATTATAAATAACTGATAAAAATTCACATATTCTTATATACGAATTTATATATTTATATTTATTACTTTATATAAAATTAATTGAACAACAGAGTTATAAATAGAGTGTTTAAAAAGTAATAACAATAATAATAACCGACACATTTTAGTTTCATATTATAATGATGCGGTTAAATTAATATTTTGATGAAAGTCGAGTATTCTTTTTTATGGGTTTAAATGAATTCTAAAGGCAAAACAGCTAATAATAATAAAAAGCTTTTGACACAATTAGAGGTTTTCATTTGTAGGGGTTCGAAGATCAACAAAAGCACAGAGTGCCCTAAGTTGGTTAATCATCGTCGAGGAAACTATACAAAAGCCATTTTCCCATTAATTCGTCTTGTAAACATGCGAATATTGTTACGGAAATAGAGAAAACGAAACCATATCATGCAATTTAATTAAAATAAATCCAGAAGGTTCATTGTTACCCTAAAGCCACTCGACCGAACCCAATCAAAACACTCCAATGCGTGATTCCTCACCCCCGAAATGAATGGAACGTAAGAGAAACAGAGAGAGAGAGAGAGCGAGAGAAACAGAAAGACCTCTTAAACCTGACAACTGCATTATATACATCATATATAAACACAGATAGATTTCCTATCAATTACACCCCTATAATAGTAAACATGTGTGAGTTTTCACAATCGTTTATACGCTTCTCTTTATAATAATAACCGTATTAGAATATATGACGAGAGAAAAGAAAATATTACAACACCACATTGATATTACACATACTCTGACCGTTTATATTCACAACATTGTTAAATTATAATAGCATACTTATAATAACATTGTGCTAAATAATCACATGATAATAAACGCAGTGGTATATTATGGTTATTGTAATTAAATACGCATAAAACATATAATATTCAAATCTGTCTTACTCGTCAACAAGATTAACAACGTTTATAGGTAATATAGGTTTATAGTGTTATTTCGGTAAATACGATTGCGTATGTTTTTCGATAGATTAAATATTAAAAAAAAAAATAAAATAAACATGATTGCGTACGAATTCGAATGCAACGTTCGTTGTAAAATATATATATTTACTGTAATATACTCAATAATTATCCAGTACAATAATTTTATCTGAACTATAGCATATTATTACTAATAAAATAATTAATTAATTGATAAGAATTCGCATTTTATTTATTAGCCAATTTATTAAAAAACGTAAACATTTTTAACGTCTGATTGATCTAATACAATTTTTGATGAATAAAATTATAAGTTCATTTTTTCGTATTAACGTTAACTATTTAACTATTTAAAGTATACAGACGAAAAAAAATCAATGGCTTTTAACTTAAACAACTGTTTTAATCAAACAACTTCAATCCGGCAATATAAATATTTAATCAGATTTGTCTTGCGTATAGGAGTAGTGTGTTTAGCTCATCCCTCGGGTGTCCCGTTTTTTTGTCTACTTCCATCTAGAATTCGGATCCAAATCGCATAGATATTTAATTCATAATACATAAAAGTGAAATATTTCAACAATTAAGAGTGAGTACTGTCAAGTGTCAATTCTGTATAACAGTGGTGTATTTTAGATTTCGCCAAAGTTGGAGATATTGCATTTGGAAATTGTGTCATATGAGCCACGGGCCCGTGCCATTTTGGGGGCTGAAATCAAGGACAAGATGTTATTTTGAGTGGACGGATAGGTGTGTGAAAACAGCCGATGACCGTTGTTCTGTGCTCCGCTCTGTGTAAATTAGAGCCTAATTAAGATTGTGCACTTGTCCCCCCCCCCGATTCGATTAATCTAGAATATTTTGTCACGGGCATTACAATTCCTAGTTACGCCACTAAAAGGAGTGTATACGTTGCGGTTTTTTTGATATATTAACTACTTATAGGAACCAACAGTATCTAACTCCAACACATTAAATTGCTGATTTTTTTTGATTAATGTAAAGAATTTGGAATTTAAAAATAGAAAGGTAGTCATTCAAATAAAATATACGAAAAAAAGGCCGAGCGAAGAGAAATATCTCTCTAATTTCTTCCCGTAAAAAGGCTACATTGTAAAATATGCAAAACATTACATATTATGTATGTATAGCTCACCTCGACTCGTTCTTCTTTCAAATCCACTTTGAGCGCCAGTTGTTCCCTGAGCACGACGTCCGGATAGTGTGTCTTCTCAAAAGTCGCTTCCAACTGTTCGAGCTGCTCTTCGGTGAATATGGTCCGGTGTCTCCTCTTTCTCTTGGCCGGCGGGCCCACGAACATGGATGTGGCTCCGTGATGATGATGGTGATGATGACTGCCCGTGGCTCCGTGTCCCGTGACCGCCATTGCCATCATATAACTCGGATAGATGCTCTGGTAACCGGCCGCGGCAACTGTACACAACAACGTTAAACCATCAATGACCGCGATTATTGACCGACCATAATAGGTTATAGGTATTGGTTCGGTTACGTTGCTACGGGCGGTCATATCAAACAATAATATTTTGTATTATTTTGCATATTATAGGCAGGCATAATATTATTATGTTATCCGCGGTGGCCATCCGGGAATTCCGTCGGACCGAAAACTTTTATGAGAACAAAACAAATACGCACGCCGCCCACCACTTGCAGGCCTGATGTTGTGGAGGGCGAGCGCGGTATATTTTAGTATTGTAAAACTATACTGAGTTTTGAAAAAAAAATAAAGGTGAACAATATTTATAAGTACAGGGTGTTTCATAATAGTGTACCGCCGCGAGCATACCGAACTCGTCGAGGCGAGGCAATAGCGGATATTTGACATTTTTTTTTCTACCTTCAAAACCCGGGTTTTTTTTTAAATCTACTCTTAGAATATTTGTGCAAGTTTAAAAATAAATGTTCCGCGATATTTCCAACAAAGTCCACACACAATTGTTCGTTCAGTTTTAACGTTTAAACGTCGTTTATAATGCCGTCAGGACGAAAAAACTGTAAAGGGACACATCTGTAGTTAAAAAATAATAATTTCTGAACGATACGGAGGATGTACCATCACAAAATTTTGTACAAGGTCGCGGGTCTTTCGGAAAAAATGTTTTCACAAAATTTTGTATCTCGGGTCACCTAACCGCGAGGTGCGTATCGCGCGTATCGTACGCGCGCGTGACCAGTGGCGGCGTGAGGTTTTTTTTTTATTCCTACGAAGCGGTTTTTCTGTAAAATTACGGAAAACCCCTCTAGCTGGACCGGCCGTGTTACATTAAGGGCAACTATGATGCGGTCGTTCCTGCGGCGTCTACCGCCATTTTCCGTTAACGCGTCTCACGGTAAAGTGTCACGCGCATCATGCATACCCGTCCGCCGAATTCGGTCACGGAGCACAGGATTCACGCCAGTACGAAACACCCTGTATGCGTGTTCACGGATACTGCGAGTGTATTACATGTTTTGTTTCGTTTCGGAAACGTATACCCTCGCATCGCAGCATGTGTGCGTGGGTACACATTGGTGTGCGTTGGTACACATTGGTGTGCGTGCATTAGCCGTGCGCGGTGTATATTATATGCATAACCGCAATACCGCGCCCGGGGCACCGTTGATCTGATTTGAACCGCGTCCCACCCCCATACTCCCGGACGGGAACAATTGCAAACACGTACGGCCGCCGTGCGTTATTACTTATTCATGGTTGATTAAAGTTCGATCCGCCACGCGGTGCTGCCCGGGGTCGGCCCCGACGACGAAACGATTACGGCGGGATGGCGGGACTCGAGCGGTTCCGAGTCGAAGCCGCGCGCGTGTATTCGGATTTTCTGCTCCGGGTTTTCGTACGCGCGTTCTACAATAACGCGTAACGCAATGGCCGGCCGCAACCACGGCCAATGTTGCTAATTTCTATTGTCCAATGTCTGGAGACCACAGATTTGTTTATTATAAACACGGGGCATTTTAAATAGCGCTTAAAATTTACATATATTGCAACACGCCATCATGTGGCGGGAGGGAGGGCGGAGACAACGGCAAGGACGTAGCGCTCGAAACTATAGTCCGTAATTCAAAAGTTATCAAACCGAAATAAAAATGTTTACTTTTCACGTCATTTTTTGTACGAAATATAATGTTGGAATCAAACTGACGTATTAATATGATATTAATATGAAGTTCTGATCTTCTTAGTTATTGCAACGATCAATCTCAATTTATTTAACAACAATGTATTTTGCAGACAAAATTATTTGACACAACTGCCATAACTAGATATTATCAATCAAAAAAATTTGAAGTATATAATTTAAGAAATAAGGAAAATAAGGGACGGAATGGATGATTCAAAACACGGGACAAAAGTGTTGTTTAGAACGTTTGGTCGGGACACTGGGACGCTTGTCTGAAATACAACACGAATGGGATCCCTAACAAATTTTCGTTAGGTATATCCGATTTCGTGCTGTTTATTATCGACCGCAAGAATATCGATTCGCGTTTGTACGGTGATTTGTTAATTATTTTTTTTTTTGTTAAACAACAATCGACTATGCAAAATATTGTAATTTAAAAAATCTTCGCATCTTGCTTGAAAATCAAAATGTCTAATAGAAATACGATTACGTTTATTACGCAAATAATACTCTTATCTTAAAGTTTATGATAATAAGTCACATAAGTTAAAATTAACGGCACAAAATCGATTATATCGAACGTAAAATTGAATTTTTTTTAAATGTTCAACATTATCCGTAACGTGTAGATTATATTATTATAACCTGCAGTTCCCGTAGATTTTTTCGAAAGTATACTATAACATCTTGTGTTTTAAATGAGATATTATTTATATCTTTATTTTTTTTTTATAGTTTTTACTGTTTACATAGGGAAATACATATATCAGTCATACAAAAATTAAAATTAAAAAACACCAAAAAAAAAAAAAAAAACACTCATCATTTAAAAAAAAGAAAAAGCCGTTGATAGGTATGCCGTAATTTTAGACGGGGAGTTGTAAGATCGGATATACAAAGAAATTTAGTTTATATTTGTTATCTGTATACGTCACGATGGTCGGATGGTTTTTGGTTGTTAATGAAACACCATTCTGAGCAGAGTATTATTGGCCGTATTTGTCTACTGTTGCCAAGGTAACCCAGAAAATTATATATCGGAAATTGCCATCTTTATCGATTCATTAAGAAAACTACGAGAAAAAAACCAAAAAAAAAAAAAATAAAAATATTCTCAATGCACCGTTTATAGATGAACGTTTTTACAAGAAAGTTTTCATAAAGGTNCGAGAAAAAAACCAAAAAAAAAAAAAAATATTCTCAATGTACCGTTTATAGATGAACGTTTTTACAAGAAAGTTTTCATAAAGGTTTTGATTGAAGCGAGATTTCCGATAGAAAAATTGTTTGTGCACAACGTATTAAAACCGAATACACTCCCAACCGTTTCAATCAGAATCAAAAAGGAAAAAAAAAAGTATTATAAATCGTCAGAAAATTGTAATTCATCATGACGGTTATAAATCGAAAATACAATTCGTGTTGTTATCAACTGTAAACCCATTATTTTTCCACGAAAACGTCGAGAGGTAGAAAAAAGTTTGCGCTCGAGCGTACCATTGCGCACGTTATACGCACGCAATAATAACAACAATGCAGGTGATAATATTTTATCCGCGTATGGAGATCGGACGAACAAATAAAACGAACGTCAATAAATAAATGAAAATAATCTCGACGGTTTCGTACGTGAGAAACGTTTCTGAGGTGGTTTTATTTTTATTTATTTATTTATTTTTTTTTTTTTATTTATTTCCAACGACGTATACCGTCAAAAATCGAATATGCACACGCATACCAGTCGCGTCCGCACACATTACGCGTATAATATCGGCGGTATTGCGTATTTTTATTATTTCTTTTTTCTCCCGCGAAAGCGTGCCGCGCGACGCGTACCGTCGCGGCAAGCGATTATTATTGTCGGCGGCGGCGGCGGCGGCGCGCGGTTTAAGCGTTTTTCTGCGTCTGCCCCTCGCCGCCCATACTCGCGCGTACACGTTCGTTGGGAATCCGCGGAAACCCCTCTGTGCACACGCTCGATCAGGTGCGATTTCGTTGTGCCGCCGCCGCCGCCGCCGCCGCTGTTGTATCCGTTTTACGCGCGCGCGTGTATACGCGAGGAAAAAAATATTAACGTGCACATAATATCAGAAATTGAATGTCACTCTCCTCCGCTGAGCGCACGCCGCACCGCACACCGCACACACTTACCTACACGCACACGTAAATATACGTGTGTAGCTACACCGGGCACGAAGCGCAAATGCATAATAATAACGTCGCACGGCCGCGCGGCTTCGGGGCGCGGCACGGTCCACGGGATCCATTGGCGAAACGCGGCGGCAAAATTATTATTATTATTATTATTCGCGAAGCCTTCGCCGTATTATATAATACGCGTACAATATTATTGAAAACGGATTTGAAAATACCCACACAAACCACCCACCACCCCCCCCTCCCGGCACAGATGGTTTATACGTATAATAATAATAACAACAACAACAATAATAATAGCAGTACGTCTACGGGCCCACTGCGGGGCGCGGAGGTACGTGTGACGGTGCACGGTGTACGCGGCGCGTTTGCGATCGCGGCCGCGCGTGGGGCTGTCCGCGCGTCGGCCGACACGGCAAAACGTTAAAACGCAACGCGTACCGATGAAAATAATATTACCTATATAATATAGGGTTGCGATTTTGAAATGTTGAAAAGTATTTGTTTTACGTTCGGGATAGTGATTGTCAAACATTCAAATGTTGTCTAATCGGCGTATATTTTATGATATCGTTACGGTACAATGGTCGTGGTCTCTGGTATGACGTAGTGTGGGTAACGAAAAACCGGCGTGTTGATAGCTGCAGTTGTTGACTGAGTTCCGTAATCATTGCTTATCACTTTATTAGCTATCAATCATTTAATTATTACTATAATAATTACCATAATAAATGAAACTGAAAGGATTTCGTTTTTCACTCGAATGAAATATTCCGTGACGTTTTCATGGAATATTTCGAAAAGATAAATTTAATGAAATTGTACAACCCTACCTGCGTTACGCAGTCGTATAATGTAGCGATCGAAAATAACAGCTAATAAGCACGAATTGGACAAAAATCGATTGATTGGTGGGGTCATTCGAGAAACGACATAGGTACGTCATAATCGCCAAATTTTTGGAAAACGGTAAAAAATTCCAATGCTGATTTAAAATGGAACACTGCAGGCACGAAAAACACGCGTTTCCTTTACAGTATCCTGGACCAAAATGATTTCGTTAAACAATCTAATAATTAATAACTGCAGTAAATTTGTTCACGGCGGTAGTAGATATTTGACTCGCTTGACTTCTGTCGTTTCGGTTTTGGCAGGGTTGGAAAACGGTAAAGAACTAACTTTTTAAATCATATTTATTACAAATTATATTTTAGATTCTGAATGGAGCGAAAAACCATATGGTTTTACAAAGATGTTTTCTTTTTCTGTGGACAACTTTTCTACCTGAGGGCTTGCTCCGATTTTTACGTATAACACCTTTTCTGAAAGGAAATCGGTGTGAGGAGGTACCTTGAAGAGGAAATTTTTCAATTTTCTCAAAAGTTTCCCCAGTAAATATAAAAAACCGGGATAAAACATGGGAAAATCGGTACAACATTAAAGATTAAATAGAAATTATTAAAGAAAATACATAAATAATATTTAATTATTTTACTATAAAATGACATATATTTTGTTGACAAAGCATCACTATCAACTGAACCCCTCTCAGAATCGTTTTTTCGTAAGCAATGGTTTATCATTGCCTACAAGTAAACATTAAACTACCAATAACAGTGGCTGCTTCCGTCCCCATTATCCTAGGACGTCTTTTTTTTTTACATTAGTTTTAAAACATATTTTACAAATTAATATTATAAAAAAAAAACCAATCAGTTTTTGATAACATCAAAATTATATTGAAATATTAAAGCGCATGAAATAAATCTTAATCTTACTAATTTTATGTGACCTGTGTTGTTTCTCATTTGACCGATTCAATTAGATTATTTGGTATTTGGAATCAACAAATTTTTAATCACGCCCCATATTTTTAGAAAATAAGAGGTATTCTATCTTCTTAACCCCTCCCGTTCGGGCACTAATCATAGATTATACTATTAGATAAGTATTAGAGACAAACAGCTCTCGGGGAAACGATAATTTAAAGATTATTTTGAAAATAACATCAGTGGTACGGTCGGAGATGTTGGTATAAAGAGGCGCTTATAATAAATTATTATTTGTCGATTTTAGACTCTTGTTATCAGTCATTATTTTGAAAATTTCAAAGTACCTATTGACTTTATATGCACATAAATTTCTGAAACCGACTAATACTGTATGATATACTTGTATTATATTTTTAACGACATCCGTTTCATGTTTTTGAAGAATGGAATTTTTACTGAAAGAACTAGGTATAAGTATTTATTTTATTTTGTAATAACAAAGTTATGGTAAATAAGGCACGGTCACGTTCGTCTCATCCGGCGAGCTGTCACTGCGCATAAACGTAGTAATCGATTGATCGAACTTAATATTGATACATTGGATACGTGATAACTATTATATTATATCTCATATTTATCTAGAATGTTTTATCTTTTGTATAAAACCGCGATACATAATAATGATTGCACGTTGTGTTTGAAGTTCGTACTCCGAATTATTAGACAGTTATACTTAATCCACGAATAGTTCGATCTAATTGCTATTAAACGATTCAATGATCATGATGATTAAAATTTTTATCTTACTGTCTAAATAATTTAGGTATGCGCCTTACTATATAATTTAATTAATTATTAACATAATAACTTTCGAACAAAAACGACGTTTTTCATGAGGTTTCGAAATACGTTGCACCGATTTAATAATGTGGTTAAATAAATTAAACGAAATACCTACTATTTATCCATTCCCTTAACGTTCCCCTTCGGCTCTTTGTAGAAAACGCCTTTAAGGTTGCTACTAATGCATATTACGGCTTCTCGCGATCATGAATTGCGTTTGAGATTCGCCAAAAAACTTACGAAAAGTCGATAAATATTACGCTGGCATTAACGATTTAAATTGAATTAAAATACAATAAATTATGTATACCAGCTATAGTACGGTTTCAAACTTTCGAATAATAATAATTTTAATATGTTTTAATTGTATTTCTTGTTTTTGTAATTGTGTGTGAAATGTGTAGGCGTAAATTTCATTGAATTCCCTGAAGGCGGTCGCCCCCGTCTTGAAATTCTTAATACTTTATAGTCATAATTTTGGGAGGGCCATAAATACGTTTACAGGGCGGTAATATCTCCCTATGGACCTCGTTCTAGTTACGGCGGAAGTACATGTGCATCTATAAGAATATATTTATTTTAACTATAAATTTACAAAGTAAATATTCAGTGTTTATTATTATTAAATTATATTTTAAAATTCGGTATTTATATAATACGGTCGTCGTTATAGATGATATTATAGTATCATATAATATAAATGAATAAATCAAATATGCGGTAAGTCATAATTATAGGAAAGGATTTGTTTTTTTTTTTTTTAAATCACGAAGAAGATGATACTGATAAGTTTCGCTTTGCTCAATTTTGTTATATTATTTTTATTATTCATAATTTTTAAAATGTATGCATAATAATTAAAATAGAAACATATCGTTTACTTTCAATTACAATGTTTAACTTTGATTTGCTGTCAAAGTAATTATAATTGAAGTACTAATGGCGGCATTACCATAGGCGGATATCATCTACCGTTTTAGAGAGGGGCTTATATTTTAAAATAATTTATTCTATATCAAAGCTACTCTATGCGCTATCAAAAATCATCTAATCTGAAAAACCTAAATGTGATTTGCTTTAGACATCCTATACTGGCTACACCATACATGTACAAGTATGTCATATGTATATCAGTACATGTTTTATAGCCTATAGGTATCTACAATATTTTTTAATTGTTAATTTAAAAATCTAATAAAGATACCTAGGTAGATGAATATTTGTTTAATCTTCGAAATAATTTAAGCAACGTCAATAAATTTAATTTTAATAAAAAGATTTAAACTTAAACATTTTATATTGATAATGTTTTAAGAATCAGGTACTATAAAAAAAAACAAAGATCAAATACTAATTTAATAATAATATAATATAATACAATAAATAGTGGTGAGCCGATATGACGCTTATTTCCGATACCCGATGTTCAAATATTTGTTACCGATATAAAACCGATAACCGATCTGATATTTGAAATCAAAAACTGATATTGAAATAAACCGATATTTACCAATATTGTCCATGTTAAATTTTTAAACAATATATATTATTTATAGCCATATTCTTTGATTTACATTATTAAAATAAAGGGTTTTTTTATCTTGTAATTACATATCAAAATTAAACATTTATAGAAAATAAATTAAAAAAGAATTTATTTCGAAAATATCGGGTACAATATCGGTTTTGAAAAAAAAGTTGTACCAGGGATGGTTGAATGGGGAGTGGGCGGTATATCCTCTCATAAACATTTTCTCTTCAATGTTTATCATGATAAAATTATATTAAATTAGAGATTAGATTAGAGTAGTTATATAACTCGCATTTAGAAAAATAAAACGTAGCAATAATTGTTAAAAAAATGTTTAAAAAATGATCCTCACCCTTCTGTCTCCCTCATGATACAATCATTCGAACTCCACTGTAAGTTACTTATAAATTAGTTCAATTTGTAAGCGTTCAATCATCAATCGCCATAGTAAGGTAAATCTGATTTAACTACAAAGACGGAAGAGACAAAATATATTTATCTATATATTTGGATATCAATATTGAACAATGTTTTACTTAAATACAGTTATTTATAATTAAGAAATTTACGCGTAATCTACCTTTTGAAGAATATTGTGTTAAAGAAGATGTTTTAATATCGAATAGAAATAGTAATAGAATTCAGTATATCGGTCTCCTTGTGCGCCTCTTAATTTAACCCCTGGGAGAAATACACATTTTGTTAAAAGCGATAGATATTATTTATTTTTATTTTTAAATCTTTTATTTACATATGATTTTTTTGTAATCATTCGTAAATAAATTTTGTTCCCGTGTAATTTTTACGATACTGCATTTTCTGGGTCAATTTGTCAAAAATCTTGATTTCTACAATGAATTGGAATATGATTTTTTTCTCTGACATTTTTTCCGTAAAATCGACTTGTTTTACCATGCGTTAAACGCATACACACACATACACACATAGATACACAAAAACAAATTTTAATGACATTTAATCAATGTAATTCCAAAGGCCAACGTCAAGAATACAGAAAACCGTTAATACCCGGGTGTTTAGTATAATAGTTTATGATCTATCACCTACACGTAACCACCGAACAATAATTGCGATATATTTTAATAAACGGAAAACAAACGACGATGTTGCATAACAATGAAAAGGCTTTGTTAAAAATATTTGAACGGTAAACGGTATGTATACGGTCGATCGTGATTTTATTGGAACGGTAATTTATATTGCACGCATTTTACCATTTGCTGCGGTACGATATTATGTACACATTATTATGGCAGGGTAAAAGTTATTTTAAATGGAAACATTTTATTTAAGTAAAATATTTCTTTCATCCCACACTCTTTAAAATTTACGTTTTGGCATAAAATATATTTTCTGAATGTTTTATCTCGTTTGGTTAATCCGGTCTCATCTGATCTAGAGGTGGCGCAACATTTTTCTGTTCGAATTTATTGTTTTTCTTCTTCTTTTTCGTAGTTGCCTGCCCCTCAAAACCATACTGAGAAACCAATGGCATGCCATATTTTCCTACACACTGCATCTAAAATTCACCAAGTAGTGTCTGGTTCGACCCGCGCCAGGTCTTTACACCATTACTCAGGACGTTCTATATGGTCTTTTGCCTTCTGGGGTACCACGTTTTTCCATGTATATAAATGATCCTTTTCTTTTCACTACGCGTAGCCAGCCCAAGAGAGCTGCTTATTTCTTATTTCATTTACTATATTGGATTTTTAATAAAGCTCTTTATACACCACATTTTGTCTGACCTTCCACTCTCCAGATTCCGCATCTACACGGAGACCAAAAATCGAACCCAGAATTTTCATTTCAAATACTAAAAGAGTAATTGTTGGATCTTATGAAGCGTCCATGTTCGCAACCATACCGAATAAGAGTTTTATACATTTGTATAGGTACCTTAAAGCTTTTGACTTATCGAAGTTATTAATAACCCGATATCGCACTATTGTACGATAATAAGTACTTAGGAAAATAACAAAGATTATATCGTTGGTCGTATCAGTTTAAAAACTGAAAGTAGTGAACGATATAGCTAAACATGGAATTTTGTTAATTACACAAAATTCAAAGCGATAATTACAAACCAAGAAGAACAAAAACGGTATCTTTTGCAAGTAGTTAAATAACACTGACAAAAGTATCCAAATACAAATAAATCAACTATAGACACTTGAAATTGTATAAGATAAAAATCTGTGATTTGTTTGTTATTAAATATTATAAATCATAGATAACTACATTATGTATTTGTTAATATATTATGTAAAATACATCATTTCTTCAAACAAATTTAGTGGCTAATGAAAAAAAAAAAACAATTTTTCTTTACATTTTTCGTCAAACTTCTTATTAGACAAATTAATAATTTAAGTAGGTGGGACTTTTAGAAAATATAAGTTATTTTTGGTCACCCTAATATTTCGGTGTTAAAAATAAAAATAATAAATTATTATTTTCGTTAAATAATATTCAAACAAAGGTAGCCCGCTAGAGTTTTTATGTTTAGAGAGATTTTTTTTCTATGAAGTTTTCAGTGTTTTCACTGTTTAGTATTTCAGATCAAAAGTGTAGGACTATCATAACTCACAATAATAGTATAATACAATCACATCTTTTCAGTTTTTGATAAAGATGGCTGGTACGAGATAGAGAGGGGGGAGTTAAGTTGGGATGGAAAGATTTAACTTGTCCATACATATTTCTAAAAAAAAATAATATCAAGTGGTTTATATTTCGAATTAAGTTACTATTTAATTCGAGACTCTAGGTATGATACGATGATGGCATTATGATATTACACAAGTATAAACTTAATATTTATTTTTGGATCGTTATACACGACGAGAATATTTTAAACAAATTTCTCATAAGGTTTCCGAGCTTTTTTAACCATTATAATAATGATATAGGGAATTATATTTTGATCTGACGGTTTATTATAAAATGCTCCTGTCGTTCGGCTGCTATTCTGTATAGAATTGGCTCAACAAATGTACTTTTTATGTCCATACAAAATAGTTTTATAACGTAGGTGTCTAACTTCTAGGTTATCCTATAGAAAGTAAAAATGTATCTCACGCGTCTCGTCGAACGGTTTAATAAACGATTTCTGTGTAATTCTCCCATTATTTCCTCTGGAAGGAAATTCAATGACGTCTGTCGGATTTTTAACTGACTAACTATTGGTATACAAAAATGGATTATCCAACAATGCAGATGATAGTTTCCACACATAAACATTAATAACATCGATAAGGCCATAAATTATGTATTGCTTCCGAAAAACAACACCTTTATAGTTTTCTTAATTATTGACCGATAATTTGTTCAGATTTTGCAATAATTATTGTGATGGTTGTAGAAACCGATTATAAACTAACAATAATATACTACAGTCGACTTACCCAAAAAGTTGGCGGCGGTGGAGTGAGCGTATCCGGACGCTGCTGCGGCAGCGGCCAAGTGGCCAAAGTTTAAGGGCTGCTTGAAGAATCCGGCCGTGGCTGCCGTCGTGGCGGTGGTCACATTATTGCGGCCGGCTGCGGCTCCAGTTGTGGCTACGGCATCCGACGATCTGGACGGGGCCAGTATGCTATCGATGGTAAACAAGGACGACCCGACGGCCGACGATGTCTTGGGCACGGCGACCGGACTGGCCACCACCGTGGCCGTCGTCGCCTGCCCGTGATGAGCATCGACGTCGGTGCAGTCACACTGTTCTTGCAGGGGCGACACTGGGTGGCCGCTGCGTTCGTCCATCGCGGCCGTCTGCGGCCGTTCCTGGCGGTCACTGTCGTCTTCGAGTCTCGCCGTGGCCCCGTAAACGCCACCGCCGCCGTCGCACCCGTGCCGTCCGTCCAATTTCATCCGTCCGCCGCAGAGTAAACCTGTAGGGACAAACTGTGTCCGACTTACGCAAGCGAGCCTGTACTGCGTCCAGCCGCCGCTATCATGGTTGCAGAACAGTTTACGATAATCGACAAAGATTCGATATTTTATACGGGAACGTGTGCACCGCGGTTATTATTGTAATATTACAAATATTTAGGTAGTAAACGACGGACCAGACCGTGAAAATACCGCTCGACGGATGTATCCTGCTGCACCGAAATATAACCGAATATTTTAATGTTAACGACACGCGTATACCGGACGACGACGCTTACTTGAGCGCGTGCGTGCAGTGTTATTACGCGAGCGGTAAACGTTTAATAGAGCCGTCAATCGTTTAAGTGCCGCGCGTTACGTTTGATTACCGCCGCCACCGCGTCGTAGTCGTGGACTCGGCATCGGCGGCGGGTGCAGTCTATCGCTGGAAACGGGTGCCGCGGCGCGCGATTGGTCGACAGCCCGCGGGGCCTGTACACCCCGTCCCGTTCGCGGGTCCTGAGGGGGCGTGTTCGGCGGCGCCCGTATAATCGGCGCCGTTCGGCATTTATTCACCGCCTGCACCCTGCAACACCCGCCGCCGCGGCCCTTCCCGTATATTTACACTGACACATGGGTCGCGCGCGTCGTCCCTGATGCTATTTTGTGATTTGTCAACGTAATCTTGCATACCCCACCGCCTGCACCTCCCCGCCGAGAAATGCGTGTCATAAAGTCGACGGCCGGCCGCACTAACGGGACGCGACATTCCGCCCGGTGTACGACCGACGCGACGTAATGCACGACCACGCGCTGTCTCCGGGCCCTTCCCTTTTAACGTACAGTGCAGACACTGTGCCAGATCGACTCTGATCAGACGCTAACGTCGTTTACTATTAACAGGAGCACCGCTCATTTCGACTGTGTCGGTCAATTCGCGGGATAATGTGGGGTGCTGGGGTGCAGGATGTGGAAGTCTTCTTAATTTATTTGTTCATAGGTTTTTGGTTAATTGTCGGAACGTTACATTAACCGCAGTGCTTATCTGTACAGCACGGCTTTATATTATATTATCACGATCCCAAATTAAAACTGTAATCATTTTTTTTTTTTTTTGTTAAATTTTCCCTGAAAACAGAAACTATTGCACTGTAATGTCTATTGTAATTGGGTCATTTTTATTAATTATGTATTGTACATTATTTTTTTCGAATTAAACTCGAGTATGAGTGTTAGCATATATCTAATTATTATTTTACGAAATTAGGTAGGTACATTATTATATTATTATTCGATCGGTTGGATTACAATTTGCAACGCATTGTATACGGTTACGAGTAGATGGAAACAATGTTTCCACAGCCATAGTTTGTATTTAGGTACAGGTAGCAATAATATAGGCGTTTAATAATTGCAATAATAATTTTTATTCGATTTTGTATAGATAATGCATTTTGCGATATTATCATCATGGAAAAATAGTTTGCCGATCAACTATAGTTAATCTAAATATAAAGTACCGATAATTGCATATCACTATACGTATAGTAGGTATTATTTCCTGGCGTCCCGTAGGGCCAGTCCACTACATCTGTGTGTGCCCGTCGGGAGTTACGCGTTTCCACCAAAAATGTACCTTTCCCTTTCCCGTCGATTCTCTTTTCCGCCAAATGAAACAAATTAGTCTAATACATTGAAATGGACTTGTTTCATAAATTATTATTATTGTATTATAAAACCAATTTATAATAATAATAATAATAATAAATAATAATAATACAAATAAGTTTAAACTTATGCAATAATACAAAAAAATGAATGCAAACAATTGTGGTAAAACAATCGTTGGGAGTATTAACAACTACTTTTACCTTTAATTTAATAAATAAATACAATTTTTATCATGCATAAATAGAAAAAACTTTATAATTTTATAATTGTATACAATTGTCCATTAATATTCAAATATTAGAATAATTGTTTTCATTAGGATAAGTGAATTAGCAGAAAAGGAAAAGGTACGATTTTGGCGGAAACAAGAATCGGCGGAAAAGGGAACGGTACGTTTTTGGCGCAAACCGGCCATGCCCGTCATGTATACATGTCGCGTTATAACGGCCATTGAAATGTTTAAAACGATGAGTGTTAAATCCAAATGCTGCAAATTTGTATGCACATACTGATTAAAATATAAATAATATTAAATGATTAAAGACCGAACGACAGTAATTTATTGTATGCGACGAAAAGTTGACTGTAACAATCAATATACACTATCGATGTGTAATTTACGATTTGGGAAATCAGGTGCACTCTCTGTGTCAATATACAGACGCGCAGTCGTAATTATTACTAAGAATTAATTATAAATATATGCGGGATGTGGGTACATTTAGGATATTTTGGTTAGTAGAATGTTATTTGTGCGTCTTACAATAACGACAACGTTATTTGGAACATTAATTGTGGTGTTTAGATTAAAATTGGAGTTTCAAAAATTATATCTATTTAAAAAAATGGCAAAACTAACATATATGGCTGCACGGTTTTTGTGAGGAAATTTTTTCAAAGACAAAAGATACGCAGAGCCCTCGAAAATATGCGAATCCGTAAACGCCGTTACTCGTATTTAAACTCCAACTTCTAACCTATAGCGCAACAGTAAATTGCGTGGCGCTCCGAACGTAAATGTTCTATAATAGCAATACAAACCGTTACAAACCGACGGATCTGGCCTTTTATACACACGATTATTCTTAAGAGAGAAATATTTAATAATATAATATTAGTATGCGTAATACACACACACACACACACACACACACACACACATACGCGACGACTATCTTATTATTATAAAATAACAAACAACGCGTGGCGAAATAAAATATTAATAACAATTGTGTTGCTCTTTTATAGAACTTCTTGGAAATGATTCTCGGAAATGTGTAAACCGCAAAACACTCTTATAATATATATGCATATATATGTATACATATACACATGTATACGCGAAAGGAAAACGTTTGTAATTTAAAAATATTATCCTTATAAATAGTCGGCAGACTATTATTCCGTGTAACTTTTAATATTGTAGGTACATATGGTATTAAATTGTTTTTAGATAATGGGAATTCGTTACTTCCGTCGTTAAAATTGAAAAAAAAAACAAAACAAAACAAAACACGTCGAATAAATAGTGTTATTATTTTCCCGACTGCAAAGAGCATCTTTTTGGTGTTTGAGGTTCGCGTATATCATGCGAGTTTCACCGTAACCATATTATCTCATAAACGCCTGAACCGATTTAGACGTGCGTGACGGTATCGTTAAAATCGTTATGTTATTATTATTACTTTTTGAGTTTTCGCCACTAATTGAAATTCAAATGCACAAAAATCGAAGGGAAAAAAATGTTTCCGAATCCGACTGATTGTGTAAAAACTGAAAAGCGAAAAAAATAACGGGAAATAACACTTAATAGACAAAAAAAAAAAAATTAATTAATACAAATCGAAAAACCCGATTGCGGGAAAAGTGAACAAAACAGTTGGAAATAATATAAAACAAGCAAGTGCTCGAACTGGGGGCGGGGGGGGGATGCATGGGGACTCCGTACCTCAAATAATTTTTTACAGACATTTTAGAGTACCGTCTATTTCGAGTGGAACGTATATGGGACGGTTTTTATTTTTGGATTTTTATTGAAACTGTTGTCGTGACAACCGACCGGCGTGACATCTAGTCCCGATCTCCCCTACACATAATTAGTGTATTATACCTAACCTAACCGACATTCACTTTCGTGTTATAATATAAGATAAAAAAAAAAAAACGCGTACGAAATAATACGACAATTCAATAACAGTAATATAATAATAATCAATGCGAATAATTCTCCCTCAATTTGCACGATTGTAGTACACTAATGAAGCCATGGCGAGTGCGCGGTTTTTTTTCCCGTAATTCGAACGGGTAAAAATTAAAAAAAAAATATATATATATATATATATAATTTACGCGATCAGTTTATCTAAAGCGATTCGCTGTTTTCGGACGCGACCGTTTCGTACGGCAGGTGCTCGCAGACGGCCTTTTTCTTATTATCATTAATTTTTTTTTTTTTCTTATGAAATATTATTTATTCTGAAATCCGCGGGCGACGGAAAATTCAATTCGGCGGAAAACGCGCGGTAAAATACATTAGACGGCGACGACCACGACAATGATAATAATAATAATAATAACAATAATAGTAATACAATGACGTGGATAGTGTAATACGCGTGCGGGGAGGACGCGCGCTTTTTGAAAAACCGTCCGGGAATCCGGCGGTAAATCTCTCGGTCGTCCCGCGCGTCGTCGACGAACCGCTCGCCGACGATCGAGCAAACGAACCGCGCGCGCGTATCGTCAACCGTCCGGGTGAGCAAATAAAATGTCACCGCCGCAGAACCGTTCTTGGGTATCCGCGTATTGTTGTCGCGCGCGGACCGCGCTGGGATTAACTCAATAATATGCACAAAGACGGCGGCGGTTACGTTATTATTTCCACGGACGGTCTTTTGTCCGGAATAGCGTATCGGCTGTGCCCGGCATACTGCAGGGCTGGAGCCAGGAGTGCGTACCGCTGTTCGCACAGCCACCGCGGTCTAATGCTATATCATGCCCGGTGACGGACGCAATATGGCCGGTCGTAAACGTGCTTAATCGACCTGACTTAATCGGCCGGTAATGATAATAAGTACGCAGGTATACCTAACCACCGGGGGTTCGGCGGTCCGACGTGAAAGCGGTTTTAGAAGACAGAAATATACGGGGCGGAATCAACCGCCGAACAATATCCCCCGGTCCCGGCACTAATAGTTATGCGATTGACCACGTACGCCTAATGTCTGCGCATAACATAATACATTATAATATACTGTACGTTGTGTATCGGAAAAATGTCCCCGGCAATCCATTTTCGAGTATTAATACGCTAAGTGCGTGTATAGGTA